GGTGGTGAGGAGAAAGCGCTCTTACAATGGCTGGAATTCCTCGGAGAGTGATGACCTCACCCATAGGCTTGTATGACCCATCCACTGTCAGCACCCCTTCCTCTCCCCTGCAGCCACCGCTGGCTAACAAATAGGAGCCAATTACCTGACCGGACCAGAGCTGGCTAAAAATAGGCAAGAATATACATTTTTCTTACACAGCATAGTCTGCATAGGTGTTAGGAGAGGGTTGGGAGCATTTTTAAGACAAGTTAGATTTAACCTGGAATTCTACTTTAAGGTTTTAAAAAGCATATGAAAACATATAAATATGTACTCTCTTTTTTTGATCAGTTATATTTTTGCTATGTTTTCGACTTTTACATTTACAAAAAGTACAAACACTTGAAACCCCCCACAAGGTACCACCATAGCCCAATGGAGAGCCTTGAAGGGAAACAATACAGAAACATTTTGACATTGTTGGCTCCATAAATATCAAAAATCAGGCACAGAAAAAACATAAACTAGGTTATTGGTCCAAGAAAAACTATAGTACTCAGGTGGTGGTTTCTTCTTCTTTATTGTTGGTAAATATAGGTATCTTGGGTAGCCAATTATTGAATGTATCCTCAGTCGAACTATATATCAGATGTATAAATTATTAACAAAGACGTTTAACAATACGCGTGATTCTTTTGTAGCCTACTCCCCAAATTTAGCTATCACACTGAAGGATGGGATGGAACAGTAGGGTTGGTGGGGTCAGGTCAGGCAAGGCCAACCATCTGTTCCATAAATGCAGAAATATACTGGGGAAACCCCTAAGTTGTGATATCAGATGCTTTTCGAAAAGACTGGCATGAACTTGGTTTTCTCAAAGAAGGAACGTGAGTGGTTGAGGTGACAACCATTTCCATGCAATCAACTTAAGTTCTATAAAGAGAAGTCTGATTGCAGGTATTATCACAGCTGGTTTGTATTGTTCCTCATCTAATATTCTTAAAATGTAACATGGTAGCTAGTCGTAGTATGGGACCGGCAAATAAAAGAGATAAAGAAAAATCCCCTATGATACTTTCCTGTAGAAAAGATTTACCACCATCATCCTGAGATAAAGCTCTGCTGGTATGAAGAGAATTAGACCCAAACATTGGGCCTAGTAAACAGTATGAGGCCTTGGTGAAGGGACAGGCAGTCCATTCACTGCACACACCTGAGGAAGATTAAATGCTGCATTTAAATACATGTTGAATTATTCATTATGTGAGGAATGTTCCCTGTGAGGTGACGGATCCGTCTCACAACAAGAGCCGGATTACGGTTTAGAAAAAACACACTTGCCGCTCGGCACAAATCACCTATATTTACAGATACAACCCGAGTGAATTTTTGACCCTTGTCTCGTTTGTGGTAAAGGGATCTGTGCCAGAACTTCGAGCTGAATGAAGCAGTCACACTTAGCCAAGCCCTTGTGTATTATGTTTCCAGCTGATTAATACCTGCGTAGAAAATCCATCTTTTGTGAGAAAACTAATCCAGAAAGAGAGCGTTCTGAGCGAGAACACGTAACACTTCGCTAGAGGCCAAACATGAACATCGTAACGGGCCTTCCTGAAGACAGAGGATGCTTTACTCTGCAAACAACATGGTACCATTGCTCATTCACATGTCCAGCTCCCACAGGCACTATACTTCATTTACTTTGTTGCACACCTTCCTCGGAAATTAAAGAGAATCTGCCATCTGGCATAGATGAGAATCCTGCCAAGTGCTGGAGGAACCCAATGTTCAGGTCTCATACGCTACTGAAGTTCTAGAACTAAGCACATTTCAACAGCATCAGATGGGGACAATTCACTAAGGCTAAGTTCACACTAGCTTTGTCAGCAGGCGTTAGACAGGCGTTTGGGAAGCGTTTTTAATGCTAATCAAACGCCTATGAAAATTCTACACATGGCAGCACACAGTGCTGTTCACACTGAAGTTTTAGCATCACTGCAAAATTGACTCATGTCCAGTCAGGAGGCGTCGAAGCCTCCCATTCAAGTCTATGGTGATGCTCCTTAAACATCTGGCAGGCGTTTGCAGGGTGTTTGGGAGGCATTTGCTGAGTGTTAATACCATTAAACTTCATTATAGGCATTTGTATTTCGGTTTTAACACTTGGCAGCATAAGGAGATTATAAGGTGTCCTTCAGTGTAAGGCCCCTTTCACACAGGCATTTCGTATGTCCATTTTTCATCTGTCTATTTACGGATGAAAAACGGACCCCCATGTATTTCTATGGACTAGTGGATGTAAATGGATGATCATCTGTTCACATCCGTTAATGTAGGCATCCCTTAACATCTGGTTTTTTTAATGGAAGAAAATCCTTTTCTTCTTCTATTAAAAAAAAGTAACAGACAAAAAAACAGATGTAAACAGATGAAAACGGACGAAAAACTGATGCAAACGGATGAAAATGGATGAAAACGGATGTAAACGGACAGAAAATGGATGTAAACTGATGAAAAATTTGTGTAAACTGATGAAAAATTTGCGTAAACTGATGAAAAACTGACGTAAGCTGATGAAAAATTTACGTAAACTGATGAAAAACTGACGTAAACTGATTAAATATTTACATAAACTGATGAAAAACTGACGTAAACTGATGAAAAATGTATGTAAACTGATGAAAAACTGACATAAACTTAATGAAAAATGTACGTAAACTGATGAAAAACTGACGTAAACTGATGAAAAATTTACGTAAACTGATGAAAAACTGAGGTAAACAGATGAAAAATTTATGTAAACTGATGAAAAACTGACGTAAACTGATAAAAAATTTACGTAAACTGATGAAAAACTGACGTAAACTGATGAAAAATTTATGTAAACTGATGAAAAACTGACATAAACTTAATGAAAAATGTACGTAAACTGATGAAAAACTGACGTAAACTGATGAAAAATTTACGTAAACTGATGAAAAACTGAGGTAAACAGATGAAAAATTTATGTAAACTGATGAAAAACTGACGTAAACTGATAAAAAATTTACGTAAACTGATGAAAAACTGATGTAAACTGATGAAAAATTTACATAAACTGATGAAAAACCGATGTGAACTGATCCGTTTTTTCTTGGGAAAAACGTGACTGAACTGATGAAAAAAATGGCACGCCTGTGTGAAAGGGGCCTATAGAACATGTTGACAGAAATGAGGAAGCAGACTGATAGAGAGATAAACTCACCAGTGTGCTGCTTCTCATTTCACTGTCCAGTCACAGGGTAGGATGGGGACTTGTAAGTGAAACTGCAGTGGAGAAAGATCAGATCCTGCCAAACAGGACTGTGCTGCATGGCAGAGCTATGTAATCTTAAGACTGGATGGACAAAATACAAATCCTTTGTCAGGAAAAACAGCTCTCATATGTATTTCTTCTATCAATTTAATTCAGCTTTAAACAAAATAAACACATTACAGAGATATAATAGTGATTTTTTTTCTCCTAAATTGAAGCAAATCAGGAACGATGATTATTTTTGAGAAGCCTCCCCCTACACTGCAGAGAATTAGAGAATTACAGCAGGCAGATTTTGTTCTAGTGGCTGCTGTTGACAGAGAATAGCTTGTGTTCTGTGCGTGTTTTCTCCCCCTTCATTAAACAGACAACAGAGCACCTAATAATACCTATTTTTTCCACTGATATCTTATACCTTAATAACATGTTGCGGTTATGGGAATTAAAATCCTCTTTATTCTATACTTTTATATACCGCATTGTGGCTCAAGGTGGGCTTGACTGTGTGAAGTCCCAAGGGGTTATTCACCAAGCGGCTGATCTGAGGCTCAATTAGGGTCAGGTTCTCAAAGGATGCTGACCGGGTGACCTCCAGGAGCTGTGCAAACCTCCAGCCAATTATGCTGGAAGCTGGCTAATGACGTCAATACTTCGCCAGTTCAGACAATTTTATGTGATCGCTGTGAAGGTGAATTTTAGGGCTACAAAAGGGTTCAACAGAGATCTAATATCTTTTATCAATTTATGTAGATAAATTCCATAGCAATTTACATATAGTATTCATATGAGTTCCTTCCCTCGAAGGAGCTTAAATTGGTTGTAAACTTCAAACATGAAATATGAACAAAGAATATCCCTCTATTGTGTGTACTTGTCTCAATTAAAATCACTAAGTATCATTTCCCTCTGTTGCTTTGTTCCTCTGCTATGAGCATGTATCACTTCTGACAAGTTTTCCTGACACCAAGAGAAAAATGGTGACAGAGACCTCCAGCAGATTGACAGCTCTGTTCCTGTGTGCTGTGTGGGGGGGGGGGGGGGTTGTCCCTTCCCTCCAATCAGCTCTCAGAGCTCTCCTCACTGAGCTCTGCGGGGTGTAATTTCAGCTCTCAGAAAAGCTGTATAAATTCTGCAGTTTGAACAGATGTATGCAGATAGACAGTCAGAACTTGTTTTATAACAAGTTGTCAGTGCCCATCAATGTCACCTGTCAGTGCCCATCAATGCCACATACAAGTGCCCATCAGTACACATCAATGCCACTTATCAGTGCCTATAAGTGCACATCAATGCCACATATTAGTTCTCATCAGAGCTACCTTTCAGTGCCAACCATGGGCAGACTGACCAATTGGAAACTCGGGCACTGCCCGAGGGCCCGGGGTCAGTAGGGGGCCCCATGAGATGCCCCGGTACCTTTTTCATAGGCTTTTTTGAGTTTGGGCAAGGACACAGGGACCCCATGACCCCCTACTGCCCGGGGGCCCCATGAGTTGTCAATCCGCCCCTGTTGCCAACTATCAGTGCCACCAACCGGTGCCACCTATCAGTGATGCCAATCGGTGCCACCTATCAGTGCCAGTCAGTGTCACCTATCAGTGCCAGTCAGTGCCGCCTAACAGTTCCAATTTGTGCCGCCTACCAGTGCCGCCTATCCGTAGCATATATGAGTGCTGTTTTTCAGTGCCCATCAGTGATGCCTGTTAATGCCCATCAGTGTCACCTATCAGCGCCTCCTCATCAGTACCACCTATCAGTGCCGCCTATCAGTGCCCATCACTGCAGCCTCATTAGCGCACATCACCGAAGGAGAAAAATTACTTATTTACAAAATGTTATAACAGAAACTAAGAAAAAACTTTTTTTTCAAAATTTTCTGTCTTTTTTAGTTTGTTTAGCAAAAAATAAAAAAAACCAGTAGTGATTAAATACCATCAAAAGAAAGCTCTATCTGTCTCAAAAAAAAGGATTAAAATGTTGTTTGGGTACAGTGTTGCATGACTGCGCAATTGTCATTCAAAGTGCGACAGCGCTGAAAGCTGAAAATTGGCCTGGGCAGGAAGGGGGTAAAAGTGCCCGCTAGGCTAGGGGTTAAAGTGGTTCTTTCAGCAACAATACAAGTCTGAATGCATACATTCTTAACATTTCACTATATACAATGACAAAAAAAAGCTTTACCCTTTATCATCAAGCCCAGCTTCACACTGCTGCAACTTTGCATGTGACTTATGGTTCATAAAGTTGCATGACAAAACTCCATTGATTTCAATTGTGGCCGTTCCAATCAATGTGTCTTTTAAACAGGTTCCTGCACTACTTTGATGCAACTTTCTGTTTCAATATGTTTATTAAGATTTTAACAGAAAATATGCAAAGTGTAACCAAACTGTGATATCAAGGAATAATAAACAACGCAGGTAGAATATATCAATACATCAAAGACAGAAGTAAAGAGATTCAAATGTTATGCCAAGAGATCTTCTACAGTCACTAAGTATCGAAGTAGAAAAGTAGCAAAAAAGTACTGTATCAAAGTGTACAACAATCTTACACAGGAGACCCAAAAAGGAATAGTATATCAACATCTCCACAACCCACCGGCCAGCCCACATGGAAGAAAAATATATTTGAAATTTATTTTAAAAATATTCTTCCCAAATATATTGACATATATTTGAAATGCTACAATTTTGGCCATATTCAATATATTTCAAAATATATTTAAAAACAAAATATAAAAAAAATACATAAACAAATATATACACACACACACATATATATATATATATACATACATATATACACACACATACACACACACACTGCATGTTGAAATGCATTTTTATTACAAAATATGTGAAAAATATTTTTAAGAATACATTTCAAATATACTGTATGTCTTTAAAAATACAAATCTACATTTTTGGAATGCAGTTACAGATATTTGTAAAAAATATATGTTAAAATGACTTTTTTTATATGTTAAAAAAACTGAAGAATATATTTAACAAAATCTATATATTTTTAAAAATATTTTTTAAAATATATTCTTCAGATTCTTTTTAACATATAAAAATGTCATATTTACATATATTTTTAAATATATTTGTAAATGCATTCCAAAAATGTAGATTTGTATTTTTAAAGACATACAGTATATTTGAAATGTATTTTTAAAAATATTTTTCATATATTTTGTAATAAAAATGCATTTCAACATGCAGTGTATATATATATATATATATATATATATATATATATATATATATATATATATATATATATATATATATATATATATATACACACATACATACACACACACACATATATATATTTATTGAAATATATTTTGAAATATATTGAATATGGCCAAAATAGTAGCATTTAAAATATATGTCAATATATTTGGGAAGAACATTTTTAAAATATATTTCAAATATATTTTTCTTCCATATGGGAGCTGACACGGGTCGTGGGTAAACAGAATGCTCTATGCAAGAGCGCTATCAATGTAGATAGGTAGAATCAAAGAGAGGAAAGGAGAGAAGAAAAAGTAGATGCAGAGAAAAGAGAAAGAGCAGGAAAGAAAAAGAAGAGCCAGAAGTCCATCCGAAAGTCCGCACACTTCAATCAGCCAAAAGTTGGAGGTATTTAATCCAGAGATTCCAAACATGGTCAAACCTAGCAGACCTATCTATGATGCAGCTTTTATGTGACTTGAGTGCCCTAGACTCCTCAGGTCCAATGAAATTTGCAAGCAAGTCACACTGGAAATCGCATGACAACAGATTCGCAGCAGTGTGAACTGAGCCTTAAAAGAGCAGTATGGCCAAAGCTTTTTTGGCCATGCTTCTCTTCTGGGTCACAGGAGTGCACTTACTTCTGTTCCTGTGACCCAGAATCAGCCAACAGTAGACTAAAGCCCACTGTCAGCTGACATCACACAGCCGCTTCAGGCTCTGGAAGGATCCCAACCATATTGACGGGATCCACCGAGCTGCCTGATTGTCAGTTGGCCCCGCCTCTCAGTGCACAACTGAGTGTCGGTTCACACTGCACTTGGCATGTGATTCGCACCACAATCCTATGAAAATCACATGTGATTTCTGTGCAGTGCAATTTGAACCATACATTTTGTATGGCTCAAATCGCACTGCATCTGTACCAAAGTAGTGCAGGATCCTTTTTTGTCCGCACCAGAATTGGATCACAGAATTGGATCACACCCATGTGATCCAATTTTGCAGAACGCACTGCCGTTTTGTAAACCGATTTTGGGGTGTAGCTAACACACACCCGCAGTGTGGTTTACATGCACGGAATGCGATTTTGATGCGGTGCGGGAATCGCACAGAAACCTCCGCAAATTGCACACCGCATCAGTGTAAACCGGCACTGAGAGTTAAAGTCAGGTCTACCCGCCCAGTCCGGTGCCCCAGTGATGGAGTAGCTGAGCAGAGAGCAGTGACTGAGAGTTACAGCAAATATGTTTTTTTTAATCCTTTTAGGATAAAGGTTTTACATGAACAAATAAATGCTGATCATTTTAATCGCCCCTGCCAGTGGTTAATGGATTGTCTCATTCATGTAAACTGATACATTCTGCTGGAGAGCTTGAACTTCTGAAAAACAGCAGAGCTGCTGGCTGAATCACCAGATGAAAATAAAAGAAAGCTTAAAAAAAGGAAACTAATGCAGCCATCCCATCTATGAATTGGTAAGCTGCAGTATAAAATATTTGCTTTTGGGTTTAATGCTTTTTTAAACAAAGAAAACTAATGCAGCCATGTCATGTAGGGACCAGTAAGCTGCAACATTTTACATTTTTATTCTTGAGTTTAGACACACTGAAAAGCAGTCTTTTTGCTCCAATCACATAACTTTGCCTAGGCTCAGATGATGTCATCAGTCTGCTGGGGGCTGATCTGTGTCAGACATTTGTGATAAAAGCCAAGAGCCGCACTGGCAGTTCAACATCTATAGGACTTTGTCATCTCTGAGCCGGCATCTCAGTTGAGGAAGTAGAAGCTAACCCTGGATGATGCCTGAACAAAGATGGCATTGTCCTTCTGGAAAGAACGGCAGATGACGGCATTGTCTAGGTGAGTACTGTGATCTCAAGTTCCTTAAAGATGAAGTTCAGCCTATGCAGACAAGTAAGCCAGCAGATTAAAAATATATTGTGCATTTTTGTAAAATGTTTAATGTAAGTGCCTATTTCCACCCCCAGGAAGCCAGAGCCCAGGCTTTTTTTTTTGGGGGGGGGGGGGGGGAGTAAGGAGTGGCCTATAGGTAAGCACATAAATTAAAGACTAGATTTTAACCTACTGGGACTACTTGTGTGCATGAGATATTTTTTTTTTTATAAAAGGTAGGCTTAACCCTTAGGCTGCATTCACACCTGAGCATCACATTTTTAAGTGTTTTTCGGGCGTTTTATTGCATGTTTTTGTACAGCATTTTTAAAAACAGTAGAAAAAAAAAATCATCTGTTTCATCATTTGCTGCTGTTTTTCAGGGCTTTCTTAGCTTTTTTTTTTTATCATGATTTATTTATTCATTTTTGTTTTTTATTTTTTTTTGTTAGGGGTTAGGTTTAGGGTTAAGGTTAGAGCTAGGGGTTAGGGTAGGGGTTCATTTTATTTATTTTTTTAAATATTTATTTTATTTATTATTTTTTTTGGTTGGGGTTAATTAATTAATATATTATTTATGATTATATATTACTGCATGTATTTATTACATTTATGATTATATTTATTTTATTTAACATTTATTCATTTATTATTTTTTTTTAACTAATTCATTAATTTTATTTTTTAATTATTGCATTTGAGCAGAAAAACACGTGAAAACGCTTGATAAAAAGGGAATTTCTATGGGAAAAAAAACCCTCTTCAAAAAAGCACCAATCTCCCCAAATCAAGCTACAAACATAGCGCCAAAACTTTTTTTGAGCTTCAGGCATTTGGCTTCAGGTGACTTGGAGTGGAGATGTGAACCATCTCCATAGAGAATAATTGATTTTTTTCTCCCTGAGTGTTTTGGAGCTTCGAGTTACAAAAAGAATGGGGCCTTCAACTTGAACTGCACTCCAGGCAGTTAAAAAAAAAAAAAAAATGATGCAGGTATGTGTTCTTTCATAAACCTGAATTTGACTTCGTATCAGGGGCGGACTGACCATTTGGAAACTCAGGCACTGCCCGAGGACCCGAGGTCAGTAGGGGGTCCCATGAGATGGCCCTGGTACCTTTTTCATAGGCTTTTTTAAGTTTGGGCAAGGACACGGGGGGCCCCATGATCCCCTATTGCCCAGGGGCCCCATGAGTTGTCAGTCCGCCCCTGCTTCGTATCAACTTTCTGCAATTCCTTATACAGCAGAGCTCAAGATGGGAACAGAAAAAGTGCAAGTAGCCAATCACTTGTGCTGCAGTGCTTATATGCTAACAAGGAACAGCATGCTGATAGGAGGAGAGAGCCAAGGGACTGAAAGATGAACACATCACTGTGCTGCTTCTCCTTTCATTTTACAGTCACTCATTGGCTCCTGGCTGTGATACTTAAAATGATTGTAAAGCCTCACCTTGTAAACGTAACCCAATTAGTTTAAAATAGATGTGAAAGACAAAACATTTGTGTATAAAAATACCCCCAAAAGAGGAAAAAATATTTTATAAGCAATTAGGATGTGGTACAAAAAATGAAGAGCTGATTATATCTTACATTTGTGTATAGATATAAAAAAGAAAAAAAAAAACACACTAACATTTTTTTTTAAGCTAAAAAACGCTGTAAAAA